GAACTAGATACCCATTCCACGTTGCAGCCTCCGGGACGCACCAAAGGCTGGGAATGGTTAGCGTAGCCTTACGGTACGGGACGCAAGTGCGCCACTAACCCAAGCTAGGGTGACCCGGCCTCTTCCTCCAGCAACAACTGGACCTAGAGCGTCTCCCAGTCAGTTTGAGATTGCAGTGCATGTGAGCTGAATACATGGGAGCTGTATGCACGCCAGGTAGTCTGTTTTGCGTCCAGAACGATGCCACTGATGCCTACGAAGTACCCGACCTCTCCGGCATGTCTTGAGTAACACAGTGGTGCTAGGCCCCGTTGGCGTCTATTCGTCAGCCTCGTTCACTGCCCGCGGGCTATTCTAGCAGCGATATCCGTGTTGCAGCGGGTCTTTTGCCCGAACGTGCATGATATATGATGGCCTCTTGCCCCGACTTGCTCACCTCGTCTCGCTTACATCTGCCTCACTCTCGGAGCCTGGAGTTCGATCCATATTCGGCTACCCGTCTCTTCTCGGTCAAAACTTACTGGCAGTACCGCCTTAGTCCTTTACCTCCCCTTCAATGTTGATCATACCCCTTCTCCTCGCCCTCCTCTTCGCCCTTTCCACTGCGGCCTCTTCCCGCTGCTGGGCTCCCGATGGCAAAACCGTACCCGCCCTAGATGTGCCCTGCAATAACGACGGTAACTCGACGTGTTGTGGGCAAGGTTGGGCATGCCTATCAAACAACATCTGTATGTGGACGCCGAGCGTACAGGACAAGGTCACAAACCACTATGGGCGCGGCAGCTGCACGGATCCTACCTGGACCGATCCCAACTGCCCGAAATTCTGCGTATCCCTCTCTGCGGGTGACAATATACCCGGTGCGGAAGCTATGGCGCGCTGTCCGCACGTCGACAACACGTTCTACTGCCTGAACGACAATCAAGCCAACGTCAACTGCGAACGACAGGATGGTGTACTGACATTTCCCGGTAAGTCCCCCTCACATAGGGGTGCACAAAACCTAACCTCCTCCAGGTACATTCTCAATTGTAACCGTCATCGGAGCCTCAACCATGTCCCCCTCCTCGAACACCAACACTAGCGACCCCACCTCATTCCGCGTATCCCCCAATCCAACCACCACCCTATCGTCCCCGTCTGCCGCGTCCACCTCCACACCCGACCCTAAAATCGAAGTCCTCCGCTCACGCACCATTGGCCTCGCCGTCGGCATCCCGCTCGGCTTCCTCGCCCTCGCCGGCGCAGCTTACCTATTCTACCGCGAGCGCCGGCTCAGGTCAATCCGCTCCAGCGCCTCCCTCGGTAATGCCACAGATCCGATGCGCACCAGTACCCCGGCCGCCCCCGTGCCATACAATCCGCATAGGTACGGCGACGGCCCGGGTCCGGCGCCGATGTGGGGCCCGGGAGTGCCCCACAGCGAGAGCGGGCTGTCGGTCGCCCCGCAGTATTCGCAGGCTGAGGTGCTTAGAGAGTTGCCGGCTGAGAAAACGGAACCGTCGGAGATGGGGTAAGGGGCGAACACGGGGCAGTGTAGATGTAGACTGCGACAGATTTAACGAGTATACATATCACATAGCTCTCATGGTGTTGTAGTTCGCCCTCAGGGAAGGCCTAGACAGAACCCCGGACATATTGGCGCCAGGAGCCCTTGTAGCGGAGTCCCGAATCGAGACTCCCCCACGCTCCTCTCCCGACCGAGCAAATTTCCCCTCGGGCAGCGATCAACCCGCTGCCTGAACCCCACGCCTCGGAACTCTCAACAGACACTGGCGTTTTCGGTTAGCTCCGGGTGGAAAAAAACGTTCCGTCCACTCGGCCCTTCCAATCGCCAAGTATTTATAGTTGGCCCCTGTCCCTTGACGTCGGCGCTGCCTTGCCCTTGCCCTGTCCTGTTCCAACCTGATCGACGAAATACTCCGAGGAGCAAGGGCTTCAGGAACACGAAGTCGCTAGCGACATGATCTGTTCTGGTACTCACCCATTGAAGCTTGTTTTTCCTTCCATATCAGGATACTGGGAGGGAGTTGAACAGAGTCTAGATCGCAGTCTGATCGTCCCGTACCCGAGCCATGGAGGGGTGGCATGGACACAAAAAAGTTGAATCAGAGGCTCGGAACAATGTGCCAGAGACAGTGCAAAATTCGGGCTTGGAGGCAGACAATGGCACCTCATGAAGCGCGATCTCAAACCCTTAGGTACAGCTACTCGTGCCGCTCCCTGTGCGCCGTGATGATATCCTAATATACAAATGTCTCCGCCACGGGCACAACTATAGCCCGCCAACCCCTCCGAAAGTCCTACGGCCTCCCCTTCTCACATCTCCGCCAATCCATTACCATGCGCAACGCCAACGGCCCGCCCCGCGCATTCGCATTCCCCAGTTCCCCAACGGCCGGCACGCCAGGTTGCGTCGACTGCAGTGCAACGTTCCAGTCGACGCTCAACTGGTCCTCCTCGCCGCACTTCGACCACACCATGCGATCCGGCTCGATCGTCGTGTGTTGGCGCCACTCGCCCTCGGTCGGGCCGTTGATGGACCATCTGTACCGCCGCTGCACCGCGAACAGAAGCCATTAGCCTAGCCTTGTCAAAAGGCTTGCTGAAACCCTTACCTGCTGATTCCCGCCCGTAAAGCCGTAGCTCAGTTGTACCAGCGCGATGGATGAGTCGCTCAGGTCGACGTGCCCGAGCCAGTTTATCTCGCTCACGGCGTGCTGCCACGCGACGTCGTAGTCAACGGCGACTTCGGCCTTGCATGTCTTTGGGCCGGTGACGTGGCCGATTTTGAAGGTGACGGTTTGGGTCATCGCTTGCCCGTCCATGATGACGCTCTTCTCGATCTCGGGGCATGTGTCGATGATCTGGCGTCGAAGTATCCGCGGCGCATCATTGCTGGAAGCTGTCCTTGAAGATAAGGCGGGGAGAGCGGCGGCGGCCGCGAGCGCGGCGAGCAGCGGCACCAGGCGCAAAAAAGAGAGGAGGGCGATCATGGCCTGCGCGCGCGGAGTGAGGGGTGAGTAAAGACGGACAGGTTAATTAAAGGGAGTTGATGGGGACGGGAAGTGGGGGAACGAGAAGACGAAGGGTGGGGTTTGTTGTGGTATATGGGTCGTGCAAAATACTGCGTGCTCGGTCCGCTGGGATTGTTATACCTAATGACGCCGACCGCTGAGGCAGGTAGCCTCGCGCGGGGCGTAGTATATTTAGCCCGAGTGTGTGGCTTGAGGAGAGCCGAAGGTGGGCACTGGGAGAGCCGCGGGACGAGATGAGTCCTTTCGCCTGCCTTATCGCGGAGTGCGATGAGTGGAATGAGGAGGTCGAGAAGGTTTCGGCGAGAAGATGCGTGTGACGTCTTTTTCGCCTGCCTCAAGAGATACAGTCTTTCCGCCAAAGGTGCGTGCGGACTTGGCTGTCTTGCGGCCATCATCTTCGCACCGAAGGAGCAGTTGCCGTGGCCCATTTACACGTGGTGGCGCATGGAGTATCTAGGAACGGCAGAGGAACGATGGTCGAAAGCACAAAAGAAGTTACCAGGGGATGTACAAGGCTGGGCATTAATCTATACGATCCAACCGGATAGGAAAGCGGCGATTAATCGGACTACCGTATAGGGCTTTGAACGGGTGCCCATGTCCAGGACGGTTCTTGCCTCTTCGCCTTCCCTGTCTGACAGCGGTCAGCCCTAGCGGTGTCGTCAGTGGCCTGGCCGTTGGAGAAGGATTCAGAAGGCCCAGAAAAATGAAGGGGTGAAAATAGGATTTCGAGCTGCTTCTTATGCTTCACACTATGCCACCTCCCCGCTACAGTCATCCAGCCCAAAAATATCGCGGCGCAAAGAAAGTGAAGCTGGAGCCGAAAATTCGTCTAGCGTCGCCTTATCGTTAATTCTCGCGCGGCTCCCCGGACATATACCAGTTAATTTTCCAGCCGTTGGCGCAAGGGGCAACTAGGCCAAAGAGAGAGCGAGAATAGGCGGACTTGTAACGGCATTGGCGAAGAGCCATCCGTATCGGTCCGCCCAGAGGCGTCATAGATGAAGGCCGGAAACCATCTCTTGGGTATAAGATTGCATACGTACGCCCTCCATCACCTAGTCTGTGGTGTGGAGGCATCTTCGTTGGTTTCTGGGCGGTAGAAAGCCGCGGCTTGAGGTACTTGAGCGGGTGTCGTAAGGCGCAGATGTACATAGGGCTGGTGTGATTTACAGTATCATGGTGTGGCGTTTCAGCCGAGAAGACCGAGCGTGCGTCCTTTCAGGATGCGTAAGCAAATGCCTCTGTAGCGTGTGGATGATACCGTTCTTGCTGGTGTCCACGGAAGTGGAGTTGGAGTGCAAAGAGGAGTTGACCGTCCGGTGTGGGGAACTTGTCGTTGTCGTTCCGGGCTTGTGATACGTAATCCCAAGAATACAAGACCGCTCACGCAGCACAAACCGAGTATGGCCGTCTTGAAGTGCAGGCGTCATGTTTTGGATGCAGTGAACAATGCCATGGCGATGTGATGTGGAGGTGGCGTTGCGGACCGTGGCTCCGAAGACATCTCGTACGTCAACATGCGCACTTAATCTCATCTTAGCACAACGTCCATCAAACAACCGTTCCTACCATCTTGAGCCGCTATGATTTGATTTGCTTCTGTGATATTCCAATCTTGTGCCAGAGAAGGACCGATGGCAGTGAATGACGTCCGAGGAAGCGGCTGACTGATTGAAGCCTTGAGTCTCGCCTTCTATTCCGAGCGCGCAGTTGCAATGGATGAATCGTGCTAAGCATTGAAGCACCGAAATCCTTCCGCGGGATGCCATCCCTTGTTGTTCTCTCCGATCGATTTGTGGGGCTGGCATTCCACATGCCCCGTCGTCAGAGCCCGGGATGAAGCGAACCTCGCAAGAAAAAAAGCAACGACAACGTCCGAGTCTTCGGCAGCACAACCATCCCAACTGCAAAAAACTGCAAAATGCAAGGAGGAATCAGTCCAGGAAATGCCGAACAAAAAGCTGAGGGCGGGGCTCGAACCCGCGACCTTGAGGTTACCAAGACAACATGTTGTCCTAAAAGCCACACGCTCTTCCGATTGAGCTACCCCAGCTGTAGATGCCAAAATTTGCTGACGCTTAACTGATAATGAATCAAACTTTTTATCAGTGCTCTACGCAACTCACTTCAGCCAAAAACTCTCCCACCAGATCCGAAGGCGTATAGGAACATTTCCCACTTGTTATAGAACATAAACCTTACACGAGGCTGACGACGGAGCGGGAGTGACGAATCTGTCCGCCTCTCCCGGCACCTCATACAAGTTCCTTCCCATTGCTATAAGGCTGCGTTTTCTGGCACTCGTCTCGGCTACTATCACCACCAGCAAGACCTCTTTTTTGGGTCTCTAGTATCTCAGGACTGTTAAGAGAGGTATGAAGCAATTAATAGGATTCTGGTCCCGGTGATGTCTGACTGTGGAAGTCAAGAACATACCGCGCTGGCCGGCTATTGCAATCGATTGTCTTCCAAAAAGCCGGCCACTGGCTTAACAGAAATCGCCTCGAGAACAAAGACACAGACAGCTATCACGCTTACTCCTGCGGCAATCCGCCGCTTTGCTCAAGTATACCGGATCTCTGGCCGACGCATCGGATTGGAAACCGAGTCTCCAGTCACATTGCCGCTAATATCGGGAATGCGGACCCGTCTAAGCGGTCTATGGCTCAGGATAGGATATATACCATTGCAGCTCGAGCTTGTGCCGTCAGTTTTGAATCTTCCCCGCACTTTTGACTTCAATATCGTCCAGGGTAGTCAATATCCCGGGCCTCGCTGCATCCTTCCTCAATATCTGTGTCCAGGCCGCCCGCTCCACTTAGACAGTGCCATCCAACGTACGAAAGAAACAATCAGCACTTATTGGTCTAGAAGCCTTTCTACTGGATGCTTTCAGTCAACGTAGAGTTCGCCGGGTGCGATGTGACGGCACATGGCCAGACTCGCCCTGCATACTCCGTTTAAGCTCTCGTGAGCAGGGCTTAGCCTCGCAGATCTTTCTTATAGGACACCAGACCCCGAGGCTATTATGTCCATCTTTCGCATGATTCGCCTTCCCCAGATAGTTCGCATCTATCATCCCACTAGGGCTACCCAAAACAGACGATTAGCTTTCTGCAAATAAGCACCCGGCCTCAAGCTAACCCATAGGCTTCAGGCATTTTTCGTACAGTGGAGACCACGCATTATATCCCCGTGTTATATGCTTCCCGCCATTTTGCTCGTCGACAGCCACATGTGCCTCGTATAAACAGCGCTACCCCCCCTCCTGGCTTCTCTTCAACCTGAGATGCAAAAGACGCCCATTTCAGGTCCCAGTCGCATCGTGGCATAAAACCTAGCGTACACCACTGTCAAAGCTCACGACACCAGCTTTACTCACCGCACCACACTCCTTACCTAACATCACTCATTAACAAGCAAAATGCAACTCACTACCCTCCTCACCCTCCTCACCCTCAGGTACCTCTTTCTCCCTTCACTTAACCAAGCTAATCCCCAGCGCCCTAACAACCGCGAACCCCCAGGCCCCCCAGCTCCCCAAAGCCGGCAGCGGACTGTCAAAAGGCGGCCTCGGCGGCCTGGCCAAAGGTGAGCTGGGCCAGGGCACCGGCGGGCTGGGAGGACTGGCCCAGGGCGGTACCGGCGGACTACCCAAGGCTGATGCACTCGGACAGACCCCGGGAGGACTGACCAAGGGCGGTGCCGGCGGACTACCTAAGGCTAATGTGCCGAAGGCTGGTGGTGGGTTCCCTGGCGGCGGGTTTCCGGCGAAGACTAGTGGTGGTGCCAGTGGAGGTGCGGCTGGCGCGGGTACGTCGTAACGCTTACGCCTGCTTGCTGAGCGGCGCGGGGTTGGGTTTTGCTGACTGTAATAGGTGGGATGGTTGGTGCGGCGGGTATGGCCAGTCATGGGCATAGTTAAAGGGAAGAGGTGGAGGGGTAAAAACGATGGAGTTTTGATCCTGTGATGGCTTAGTGCTGGCTCGAAAGAGATTGAGAGTGAAAATCTCTTTCATCTCTGGTTGCATACCTTCGAATGGACATACCTTCCGCCTAAGATCTTCGCATTTCTGTCGCCATTCGAGAATCGATGCATAAGCTTTCATTAGTTCACTCTCGCCACACAGTGTGCCTACAGTCAGGCCAAATCAGGTTATGATAAGATCTTGCCCTCGTACGCCGTGCAATGAACCAGAGCTACCATACACCCCCTAATCCTGCTTCAGCGGGATAAGCACCTCCTGAATCCCATCCACCGTTATCGTCATCATCTGCAGTCCATCACCAACCTCAATATGCCTCTCAACCGCGCTTGAGAACGCATCCCGCACCAGCGTCTCCACATGCTGCTGCGGCAGCGGAACCGCCTGACGAGCCTGCAGATCCAACCCGCTGCCACTCCCAGGCACATACTGATTCTTGTAGTTGACCTGATTGTCCAGGAATGGCGTGATAAGACTCGCCGCCGCGCCTGCCGCCTTGCACTGCTCACGCTCGTAGCTCCCAACCGGATCATACGAGTACAACGCCCCCGCACCCTTCTCATCAATCCCGCCCAGCAGCGCCTGGACATAATATGGGAAGAACCGCTTCCCGTAAAGGATATGGCTGAGGCGCTGTGCGCACGCCGCGACGCTCATGTCCTTCCCATGCTGGTACTTGTACATCTTGACAATGGTGTCGAGGCGCTCGGCGAGGGCGTGGCCATCGGCCGCAAAGCCAACGACGGAGAGTACGATGCGCGCGCTTTTGTGCTCTGTCCCTGTGCCGCCGATGAGGAAGAGCTTGGGCGCGTACCGCGTGTTGATACTGTAGCCGGAGGTGCTGCGTGTGTCGCCGGCCATGATGGTGAAGGTGGCGCCGGCGATGCCGAGGGTTGAACCGCCGTTGTCGGTGTACCTGGGGGAGTTAGAGGGGAGGGGAGAAGGGTTGGGGACGTACGGGTAGAAGCTGTGCTCGCGGTTGGCTGAGGCGGCGGTGGGGGCGGCGGAGAAGGAGTAGCCGGGGTCTTCACGACCCATGTGGATTATGGAGGCCATCTTGAACTGTGAAGATTTGGAGGGTGGAGCGGGTGTTGATGTGATGGCGTGGGTTGTGGAGTGTGGAGTGAGGAGCTGGGGTGAGCTGTTGGATGTCGACGTCGTATGCAGTCAGGACGCGAAGCTGGAGCTGCCTGATGATGTGCCAAGCGATAAGATCATCGCAAGGATGCGGCGCTTCCACCGCCGCGACGAGATTCACTTCCAAACTGGCTACACCATAACATTCCTTTCGCACATCACACGATGCTTGGTCTTGTCGATTACAACAGTGAGGAGGAAGAGGAGGCTTCTAAATCCGATGTCGAGGTTCGCAGCTGAAATCCGCGCTCCCTTCAGATCGAGATCTCTACTAATGTACAAGGCTTTAGGCGCACCCATTGAAAGCCTCTCATGATGCCCCTCAGGCTGCTATTGGGAGTACGGACCCCTCGGCGAAAGATAACGAAGCGCGCAATCTAAAATATGCCATAGAGACCTTTGAAGCGCCGTCCGTTGAAGCGCCGTCTGTCGAAGCTTCAGCAGCATCCGAATCAACCACCGCAACCACACTCCCTCTTCAACCTGCGGCAGGCCCCTATCCTCCAGCTGGACCAGAACTAGGCCCATCGCTGCCACAGGCAGAAGAGGACGGGGACGAAGACCCCGACACCGTGCCTCTCTCTCCATACTCCGCCTCGCGCCTCGCAACGCGCAACCTCACCATGCCCCCAGTCCCCAACTTCGACATCCCCCCCTCACCACCCGGGTCCCCACCTCCAACATCAACAAAGAAGTTCGCACGCTTCCTGCAGCTCAAAAAGCAAGGCGTGCATTTCAACGAGAAGCTCGCGAACTCCACAGCGCTGCGCAACCCGGCGCTTTTGCAGAAGCTGATGGAGTTTGCGGAGATTGATGAGAAAGATCAGTATGCTACTGCGCTGCCTGAGGACCTGGCAGTTCCGACTACATTTCCGCCGTGGGCGTATGCGGACCAGTTGGCGGAGACGCAGAAGAAGATTCAGAAGCGGAGGGATGAGGCGAAGAAGAAGGGCGAGCCGGTCGGGTTTGTATCAGCGACGGCATCGAATGCATCTGGCCGGAGCGGAATGTACATGGGCCAAAAGGGTGCAAGTGCTACGGAGGGAGGCATGGCGGGCTCAAGCAAAGAGAAGCCAGTTTTAACAGAGTCGGGCAAAAGGGAGGAACCTCGACGAAACCGCTTTCGAAGCCGATCTAAATCTCCTCGTCGGCGATAGTATGTAGCATCTGTTGCGGGCTAGAAAATAATGTGAAATGTGCATCGCATCCCATCTTTTGCAAGACCGAATATAGTAACCAGCATAGCGCGGCTAACCGCTTCGCTAATCGCGCGCTTGGCGCTCGAACCCCGGAGCTTGCGTCGCGTCAAGCTGCAACCTAGATCCAGCGACACAGCTTCCCAGCACCCGACGTCAACACCCCCGAACCTCCCGCATCACATCAATCTTCCCCTTTCCACTACCGTCCAACCTCACACCCCATCGTCAATCCTCCCACCCGCAACCATGAACCACTTCCCCGAAGCCTGGGGCCGTGTAAGCCCGCCCTCCCCCGGCCCTACCTCAGCCTAAGCTAACACCCCACAGCCCAGAGACGACGTCTACGGGGCCTACAACGGCGCGCACCTTGCATCCGGAATGCCGAACCAGCACACGCAGTCGCCCATCGTGACGGGGACTTCGGTTGTAGGCATCAAGTTCAAAGACGGCGTCGTCATCGCCGCCGACAACCTAGGTAAGCCCTCCTCTCCTCCCAAGACCCTCATACCCTAACCCCCCTTCCCCCACAGCCTCCTACGGCTCCCTCGCGCGCTTCACGGACGTCAAGCGCCTGCACCGCTTCAACTCCAAATCCGTCCTCGGCTTCGGCGGCGACGTGTCCGACATGCAGTACCTCGACCGCCTCCTGACCTCGCTCGACATCCGCGAGAACTACCACAGCGCGGACGACGCGGCGCTCTCCGCGAAGAACCTGCACACCTACCTCAGCA